TAAATGCGCGCCACTACTAACCTACATTTTTTCCTCACCCCTCCCATTTGTATTAACTATGTTCGTCAAATTACGCACGCGCGCGCGCGCGTGTGTGTGTGTGTGTATGTGTTTTCACAATTTATTTATTGCGCTCGCTTATGTGAATATGTGTGCGTGTTTCTGTTCTTCCTCCCCCCCCCCCTTTTCGGTCGAGCCTTCCAATTAATATCTCCCTTGTCGACCGCCACCGCCATCTCGACGACGCGACAACGTGACGACGACCACGACTTCACGGCGACGATGGCGATGAATCGATAACGTGAATTATTATTCATTATAACACCAGACCAGTAAAGTTGGTTGAAAAATATTATTATTAGAAATCGGTAACAAAATATTTTTATGAGTATTTCGTCATCGGTTAGGCTGTATTAAATTAGATTGCATGCATTGATAATAAAAAATGTATAGACGGAACACGACTGCTATCTATCCTTAATTAATTAAGCGATTTATACACATTTTCTAGTTGCACCCTGATAACGTATATTTATTTTCATCGTCGTTGTCACAGTTATTTTCATTTTCCTATACTATATTATTTTCGAACTAATTCAGTGTAATTTCTACTATATTACAATAAGGAAACAATAATAATAACAATCACGAACTTATAACTGTTACCTATATAATTATATGGTAACCACGTTGTCTTTTCATGATAGGTAATAATGTAAATAAATCGACTAAGTCATTTATATACGAGAAAAAAATGAGAACATGTCAAGTATAGGAATGGTTTAACCATCTATATTAAGATCTATTTGTGTAATGAAGTGTTGACGAGTGAGGGAAATCAGCGGTCGTGTACGGGAAACGTGACGCTAACTCAATGTAAAAGCGGACATTTTATTAGACCTTTTAGCATTAGCGTTTTAGCGTTGGCCGATAAGATACAAGATTAGATAAAAAGTGACATGGGCTACTTCAGAGACTTGGTTAGGGGGCGGGGGGAGGGAATTCAAATTTTTTAGAAAACTGTATAACAAAAAGCTTTTTTTTTCTCGTAGTTTACTTTTACTTCGTAGTATAGATATTAGATTCCTCTAACTTCATACTTATACGTGTTTACAATAGTCAATAGTATAAGTAACTTTTTTTTTGTAAAATTGTTTTTTTATAAAAATACGGAATTGGGTGGAAGTTACGGCCCCTAGCTCCACACCCTCCCTGACGTCACCCCTGAACAGTGATATTCTTGTGACAATTTAAAAACGAAATTTATTTTAAAATATATCAAGTATTAGTATTCGGATTCTTATGAAAATACTATTGTTATAAAGAGCTCGAATATTTATTTTGAATTTTTTTTTCAAAAGTATTTTACCCAAATCTGATGTTATAAAATACAAAGCGAGTGTAATGTATAGTCAATACTTTCCTTTATGTATATACTCATATTGACATCTCTGAAAGTTTCATCGATATTTTGTTGTTCTTGTTTCTCTGATGAGTTAACGCTAAAACGGTTCTATACACTAAAAGCTTTACTACGAATTCCTCCCCCACTTCTCAATAGTCAGATAAAGATCATCTCCCCTCTTCCCCGGTTTGTTTATTTATTTATGGTTGTTATTTTATTTCCCCGACGAAAAATGGCCCAGCCAACATATTATTATTATCATTGCCGTGTCGCGTGTTTCTGGCGTTTCTATTGACGTAGTATTATTGTAGAATTGTTATTAAATTTTCTTTGTTCCCTTTACTCTTCGTCCGAATTATTATTGTACGTTTTCCGGTCGAGACGTTTTCCGTTCGTATCGCGCGATGCCATCGCTACTTCCATAACATAATATTTGTACGAGTATAAGATTATCGGTAGCCCGAACAAAACCCAATTTAGTTCTTGGATAATATTATTTCGGTTTTGTCGATAATCGCGGTTAAGCCGTATCGGAAACAAAATAAATACTAACGCTTTTAACAAACCAATTCGCTGTTTGTAATCGCAATGCCTACACTGCAAACGTTCAACTTTAAAAAATCGAAATGCGTTAATTAAATTGATTTGCCAATCACTCATTTTGTTACTTTTTTTTTTTTTTTGACATACTAATCCACTTTGAAAACAGGATGAAAAAAAATTGAATTATTTAATTTGTCGGGAATTGACAGTTAAACCGCAATCAAAGTTACGGCAGTATATATTGTTGTGCGAGTAAGCTTGTATCGCAATCAATTAAAATTTAATCGTACGCATTGTATTTTATTTCTGATCAAATACTATATTCTACCTTCTCATTAAATCTATAGCGGAATTCTTATATTTACGTATTATTTGCAATCGCTCTACAGTTTTAGACTCGTAATCGAATTCACTAATCAATATAATAGGACTATTAACATAAGATGTATGATGTAAGATGAATAGACCGTGCGGGAATGACAGTTTTCTTACGTGGAACACATTATTGGAGCCACCGTGTGTACGAGAGACACAGACAATATGCGGTTTTTTTGTGGCGTGTACAAAAATATTTATCACAATTATAATAATTATAATATTGCTTTAGTAGCAGTTATGAACAAATTATTGTAAACATAATGGAAATCGTAAACTCGAATATTAACAAACAATGACTGCGTAGATTTGTTGAATACGAACTATCACATTCACGAAACGCGATATCACTATTTCATACTGATTTAAAGACTGTACATTATAATATACTGCATTATTATGTTTTAGTAGTCTTTGTTTATGCAGCAAATGCTCAGTTCGTATTCATGACTTTCATGATATTATGTTCATTCCGTGTAGTTTATTTATCTTATGACTATGATATTATACTAAACCGTTTGAAAATCGCATGGGAAACCGACAACAATATCGTGGCGTGATTGTTTTCTTTTTAACTTGTAAACGCACTCGACAATAATAAATTCATATTAACATCGAAGTATAGATAAGTACCTAATAGCTGTAGCAAAGATGAAACTTCTGGAAAACAAAGAATAATGCATGTTATACGCATTGAACGAAATTATCGCGACGGCAGGTAACCAATCATTTTACGTAGTTTTCGATTTCACTGTGTTTGAAAACAAGAAAAAAAAACAAACTTTGTGACAAAAACAAATAAAAACATACAAGGTACTATGTAATAATATTATGCGAACGCTCAAACACCTCCAACTACTTCCCGATAAAAACTTAAGGGGAGAAATATAATTTTAATATAATATATTATATGAAATATAATTATTCGAGGACGCGTCATGTCTGACATTGTCCATGTGGAATGTGTTATTCAAATGGTATACTCGTATTATAACAATGATGTTATGCAAAAATACTCTTTTATAGCGTCTTGTACATCCATTTCTAACGAACTGGCGTTGTCGGTCTGACCAATTTTCATGATACGTTTGTGTCTACACTGTGACATAATACCGCGACCATGGTAACATAGGCTATAAGAAAACGGATTTTTCAGCCACTGATGGTGACAATGAACGACCAATACTGTGCATCGTTTTTAACCTTTCCATTTATAAAATCTCTCAAACTTATTTTAAATCTTTATTTCTTGTGTCAACCGAGTATACACACACAACTGCATAATAGGATGATCCGAATTCACATATATTTTATTTATTATGTACGTGCTCGCTTATTCGAGCAGAAGTTGAAATGTTTGAGAACATCGAATTTGTGATTGTCAAAGTTTACAAAAATAAAAAAACAACTACAGATACGAAGGATTCAAGAATTGTCTACATATATAAACTGCGATTTTTTCAGTTAACTTGATATAACGTAGTATTTTTTAATTGTAACCGTACGAAATTTATGCTCTAATTTCTAACGCATAAATCACTACTATAAAAACTAGATACCTATTATAATTCGGTCCTCGGTCCCTAGTAACACATATAATATTATAAAGGTCGCGTGATATAAAATATTATATGATATCGATTGTGTAATAAACGAGAAGGGACAATACGAATGCTCAACAAACACGCTAAATTCCTGGATTTTTCTAATTCAATTATTCGCGTTTAAAATGAAATACAAACATTAATCAATTTTATATATCGCATGATCGAATTCGATTATTTGGAATTATAATTATAATATATGTATAATAACATGATACAGTCAAATATATAGCGCATGTACGAAGTAACAGCAGATTATATCCAATGTATTTATATTGTATATATGATTATATATTATGTATAAATACTGCATTTTTTTTATGATATATTTCACTGCTCTAATTTTGAAATGTTATATTCAATATTTTCAAACAGTTTTTTTTATTTTTTTAAATAAACGACGGTTATGCCGGTATACCGAGAGAATAATATTAACGCACGAACAGATAAACTGGAAAAACAGGATAATCTAACGTAATACAAAATAAATAAAAAGCTATAGGTAATTAGGTATTTCGTTCAGAATATAAAAATACATATTTGTATTTATTTGTATTAATACAAATTAAAAAAAAAAAAAAAAAAAAAAACATAATTCATTTCGCGAAACAATGGATACATTATAATGAACATTGAAATAAATTGTTAAAGAATATAATCGACGCAACGAAAAATATAAAGGATTCATTTATGACCTGCATTTTCAATAAAAAATTAGAGTCTAATTAAACATTAATTTTTATGTTGAACAATTTTATTGAATTATCTGAATAAATGACGTAATAAACGTCAAAAAAACGGCCTCGGTCATTTTCGATTTTGTGTTTTTTTTTTTTTTTTTTTTGCTGCTATATGGTTAAAAACAATCGTAAAGATCTGACATTTTCACAAAATTGTATAGTTAGCTCTTAGACGTATTCAATTGTGCAAAACGTTTTAGCGATTATTGAACAGCTATTTTAAATATTTGTTATAATTGTTTCCGATAAAAAAATTTTCCCTTTTATTTTTTTGGTCTAAATGACATAAGTGTATATTCTAATCCATGTCATACTGAAAATTAATGTATCTTAACACCTAATTCACTATAACGCACTTATTGTTTGATATAAAAACATAAGCTGTATGATTATACTATTCAAGCCATTTAGAACGTCACATTATTGACTATTTATTAATTAGCCCTTTTAGCGATTACGCTATTATTTCAATCAGTAATTTTCAAAATTTGCTTTACTTGCTGTATTTAAGACTATAGAACCTCACCAACAATTCATCAAATTGAACCACTGTTATTGAGACACTCTCGATTGTAATGGGTATTATTATAAAATATTATGTGCCTACACTATACAAAACGCTCAGGAAAAAGAAAAATAAAAAATGGGAGGAAGGTGGGGGTGAATTGAACAATCTGCGATGATCTGTAAACTATTTTCAGCGCTGCGGACTATTCACTCGGTATATAGGGAAAAATTCAAATTGTTCGGCCTGCGGTAAATATACGACTTTCCGTTCCATTATGCGCCTCTGTAATTGGAATTATTTCCACCCGCGCGAATATGCGAATAAAATATATATATGTACATAGATATTACATTTTTTTTCTTAGAATTTTCGAGTTCACTTTTATGATCACCCGTGATGATGGGGTTAACCGGGATTAGCCACCGGAGCGGTAAAAATGCTCATACGTTCGCGGGAGTGGAAAATAACGACCCTCGTTCGCCTTCAATACGGTTTACGGTTAAACGGCGTATTCGGCATGAAACGTTTTTATTTATTATTTTTATTTTTATTTTGTACTCGGTTGAGTGTCACGTTTTAAACACGCTTCGTTGCCGAACGAAAGCAAAACCTATGCTCTCTGCAGCAACGCCGGTGGTGGGAACCGACAGGATGAAACTGACGAGAACTCCGAGTATTTATATATATACGATAGTGAACTTCGGCACGGCTCGCGATAAGAAGACAAGCGGATCGAATCGATTGCCGTATCGTAAATAGCGGAGTGAAAAAAAAAAGATTAAATTTTTACCGACTCGTACAATTTTTGGTAATTTTATTGTAACACACGCATGTTAGGTATACACGCTATTCGTTTCGAAATAATGCGAATTATTACCACAGGCAATACGAATTACATGTATACGCAACTGTTTCATTAATCTAAGGAGATTGGCGACGGACCAATATATTTCTGTCGAATTCAGACTTAAAAGCTAGACAAAAGTGTAGGAATTACATTGGGTGAATTTCAACTTTGTAAACGGATTATGATTCTTCGAGTTCATTGATAGACTATATCGGAAACATAAAAACGTAATTTAGTTTTTTTTGAAAAAAATTCTACTGTATTTTAAACATACAGATATTGATTTAACTTATTTTGCAATTTATTTATGAAAAAATAATCAAAATTAAAAAAAAAAAAACGTCATCATATCTTAGTTGAGAACCTAACGAATCATAATACATTTTCAAAATTTAAATTCGTCAACGCAATACCTATAGTTTTGTCTAAAACGTCATAAATACGACAAAATCCCATCCCCTTAAATGGATATCAGTTTGCAGTATGTAAATTAGTGGAAAAGTTAATATAATGGTCATGGAAATGTAAAAAAAAAATTTTGAACGATATCTGAAAACCGTCACCTTAATTAATCATTTTACACATCAACATTGGGAATTCTCCTAAATAAAAAAAAAAAAACTATTTTTCCAATTGTATTTCTATCTGTGTTCCATCTATATTTACCATACGATGTAAACCAAGTTTATTATATTATGATATTGATCTTTATAGTGTATTCGTATTGTTTATAGCGGACATAAATTCGCCCGTAAAATTTGATTAGATTTCCCGAGAAAGTTTATTTATTATTATATTTGTACGTAATATTATTTTATACGTTTTTAATAGTTGAAACAAATCAAATTGGTTTATAGGTTTACAATAGACTACTATAATATATTTTGCACTCCAGCGAATAGGTTTTATACGAAATTATAAATACATAATATATATATATATATTATGCATCGTAAATTTTACGTTTTCTGGAATTGTTATTACTGTTGTGGTTATTGTATAGGCAAAACTAACATATATTATAATAATTATTCAACACAAAATTACTATATTTTAAAATTGCGCATTTTGATTCGGCCAAGTAAACTATAGCGAAAAGTAAAATTATTAATTATTAATAGCAGATGCATGCATAATAATACCCCTATATAAAGTGAATATTAAAATTTTCATTAAAACCCGCGTTTCCGTTAAACGTTTAACTAGGTATGTAGGTTCTAAATATACAAAAACTCGTATACCGCATTGATATGCATTCATTTGATACCGAGTATTACTATATATACATATACACAGTTATGATAACAAAGACAATAATAATTCAAGTTTAAAGCACATTAAATTTCAGACTTGGCTAAAATACCTTTTAAAAGTATTCAGGATAAATACTCAAATGATTTACAATTATGGTATTTTCAAAATGTTCCGAATACCTACTAAATATTCGGATTATTTTAGGAATAAATGTTTAAAAATATTTAATATCAAGTGTTCGGATGACATATCTATAATTGTTTCATTTAAACATTATATTATTATGATAGTTAACATCATTATACGTATAACATTTTAATTATTCGTAATTTTAAAAACCTTTTTAAATCCAACATCACTGGTCGAAAAATTGCGCATCTTTTAAAGTAACGCGCGAAAAAATCGGAGCGTTTTTACAAAAAGAAAAAGTATTTTCCAATAAAATTTAGCACACGTCTTAAAGTTAAGCATTAAACATTTTAAGTGAAAACTTAAGACTATTCGAAATAGAGTATTAAATACTTCTCAAACAATTATTTTTAAAATATGTAGAATACTAAAAAATTATTCCGGATAATGTATTCGGAATACTATCCATGTCTATTTAATTTATATTATGATATTATTATAAATACAAATATTGTCACGTGAATAAATGTTATAATTTCGTTCATGTTGTCATTAAATATATAATATAATATATAATACAGGTGCACACATGTACACTTAAAACGTTTTGTAACCATTGTGCAAGCGGTGAAGTTTAAAAGTTCATCCGGTTTATCCTCGACTTTATATAAAGTTTCCTATAGACTTTTAAATTAATAACGAAATAGTTTAAAATGTTCATTATATATAATCCGTGTACACATTTTGTGTGGTATAACTAACTACTGCATGAGCACTCGGAGTACTTTAAAAACTCAAATAAAATTAAACAGCGTTTCCAAATTTATAATTATTATTATTTTTCGTAATAATATTTATTTATAAGTACGCAATAATAATAATGAGAATAATGAGGGATAACACGAATACGTTGATCGGCGAGTGAAAAAAAATAATTGTTACAAATGCATAAAATAATTTAATAATTTATACAAATAATAATTAATAATTATAATATATTCGAAAATGTTAAATATTAAATGATTTATATTTATTATAGATTAGTAGAAGAAAAAAAATAGCTGATACTGCCGATGTGTGTCAATATACTAGAATAATGGGAAATTGTAAAGGTAATAATAGATTATCGTAAAATGGATTAATATAAAAAGCCATTTATAATATTTGACAAATCAATACTAATGAAAAACTATTCTGAGCGAAGTTAAAAGTGTTTTGAAAGTCCAAGATTTGGAGAATTCAAGTATTGTATAAGAATAAGAAGTAGGGATCATATTTTGAAAATACATTACTATAAAAAAATAATCATGAATATTGTACGAAGCTTGTTAAATTTTGAATTACATTTACACGAAAAACCGCTGCATTTTGAAGATAGAAACACTGTAGTGTTCTATATTGTATGATCTTTGAAACGGCGATACTGCAACAGTAGTGATAATACTATCGATAGGCACCAACGTTAACGTTTTAATATTTTAGCGAACCCTGTAGCAGTGGTATGGCCAAGAGGGGCTAAGGGACCTATAGCCTCCCATATGCGTCATGTTTATGTGTACACGTATAATTTTACGGTTTGACTGTTAATTACGTTTCTAGTTATTTCTTCTACTCTTGAAATAACGTTGTCTCCATTAAACTGTTTGAAACGTATTTAAGAAGAAGCGCTATTCCAGCAAATAAACTAAATTAGTTAGCCGGGGCTAATATTAATAAAATTAAAAAAAATAAGATATTAATTAAAGTGACGTAATCGCCGCTTTTGCTCAAAATTCGCCTAGGGAGATACAGTCGTTAGAGGGGAGTAATTAAATTATTGTTAAAAGTTATTCCATGACACGTAATATATTTTTGTGTCGATGTTAATTTTTTGTATACGCTGTTTCGTTTAATGTATAAAAATTAACTGCATACTGATGGAAATACGTTTCTACATTTTTTGACGATCTCCCTCCCTTTATCTTCACCCATGTCTCAAGCAAAACTGTATTTAGCCTCTCCCAATTCAAAACCCTGGCTACGCCACTGCGCTTTAGTGCAAGTAGATATAATATTACGCTATACCGATAATACGTATACATTATAACAGCGATAATATAGTGTAAATAAGACGTGATTCTTGTAGTAAAATACGTTTTAAACGACAGGAAATTAATCCCGGATTGGGTTATTCGCTCGTAAACGACATTAAAACGGCGCATATCCGTTGCGACGGCCAATAAACAAAACACTACTTATATAGAACAATATTGTAATATATGTATTCTTAGCGGTATTAATACGGAATCGAACTGCGTATTTTCCTTTGACTATTTTATCCCTTTTTTTTCTTTTACGATACACCATCGTTTAAGTACAGTTTTATTACTACCCCGTTCAAAGTTCAATATAACGCGCGAGCATGAAATAGGCAACGTAAATATTATACATTATGTATATAGTATATTGTTATATATATATATTTATATAACTGCTCGTCTAAACGCGTACATAAAATAAATGAATATATTCGAATATGTCATAAATCTAAGTATTGTACAAGTAGAACGCGAGCGAAAAGCGGTACAGTTTTTTTTTTTTTTGTAAAAAAACAACCACAGTGTGATTACTAAACCCATAGAATGGACTGCAGTCGAAAACGAGTGAAATATAATGAATGATATACATTGTAATTACATAATCCGTATTATAATACAAAATAAATAAAAAAATATATTATTTTTAAGTAATATTTAGTTTCCTACGGTTATCTATTCGGTGTGATACCGTGTGACGTAGATAGTTAACATAATTAAAAATTGAAACTGTTCGCGGATAGACCACTTTTATATTAG